TAATAATCAAATTAACAAAGATTCTGGATCTCATAATTCTTATTGTTAGCATAAGTGTAATGAAAAATCCTATTCCCTGGGTGGGGGTATAACTTTGTTAAACATTTTGGGAAAGAAATTTGGCAATGCCTATCAGAAGAATTTAAAAATGTCCATGCCTTAGGGAAACGTCTTAAATTTCAGATAAAGTTTTTATGGCTAAAATCATGGTCATTTTAGTGTTTTTATAATAGTGAGAAATTTAGAAACATTATGGACATAAGTAAATCATGAGAGATATAATGAAACATTACACAGCTTTTAATGATGACTACAAAGGGATTGTCATTATCATGGGGAAATGCTTATGTCACATTATTCAGTGAGAAAAGCAAACTGCAAAACTTTATACCCAATGTGATCTCATCTATTAAAGAAAAACAAGCATATTGGAAGGGTATTTTCTTTCCACATAGTCATGTTACATTATATTTCAGCTTTTAGCTTGGCATTATTCCAAGAACATTCTCTCGTGGCAAGGAGATGGGAGGTTAGGTCATTTCCAATGACCATTCTTCATTCCTGTCTTGACTGACATAGTGATAGAGAAAGAGGAACTAATAGCTTGTGTCATCTTGGGCACCATGCTATTACTACATATTATCCCTGTGAGCTAGAAAACAGCACCCCCATTTGAACATCAGAGAAACTGAGTGGGCTTAAGGCACTCACTTAAGAGCACACAGCTAGTAAATGGCAAGGTGGTATGTGTGATTCCTAAACTGTTTCTGTAAATTCCCTTCCTTTCCATAAGGTAGGATCCCCAAGTCAAGCATCTGTGATATCACAGCCTTAATAACTTGGCTCAGAAATCAGCCTGCCTGGGCTGAGCTACTGCCTCTACTTACTAACTATGAGACTTCAGGTAAATTTTATTTAATTTCTCCATGCCTCAGTTTCTGTATCAGTCGAATGAGAATAAGAATGATGCCTTCCTTATAAGATATGATGCATGTAAAATGCTTAGAAATTTCTTGGCACTCAGTAGAAATTAGCAAACATTGCTGTCTCGAACAGGGCCTGAGTGAACAGTAAGGACTTATTTGAGGTGATTTACACTCTCACTTGCCCAGAGTCTCCAGTGGAATACCAACAGCAATGATCTACTCCAAGACATCATTTCACAGATGGAGACACCGAAGACCAGAAAGGTGAAGTAGAATAACCCAGTCCACCCATTGGCAAGTGATAGAGGGTGGTCCTGACTATTAGTGCATATTCTTTCCATCAATGTACAGCATTTCCCTGTAACCCCCTGTGACCAACTGCCAGGAAAACCAGACTACAACCTTCTCTTCATGCATACACTATGATTTATGTATATATTATCATTTGCTCTCTCAACAACCCCTGGAGATGAGCAAGGCAGGCACTGTGAGGAGAAAATGACCTGAGAGAGTTTAAGGGGTTTCTCCCTGTCCCATGGGGAACTGAGGCAGGACTCCCAGAGTTCTTTGTGCAACACCATGGTACCTCCAAGAGCTTTGTGTTTTGGCTACATTGGAAACCAACTTCAGATCTCTCTTATAGGCAGGAAGGAAGTTGGGCTGGTGAATGTTCTCACCCTGATCTCTCTCTCTCTCTCTCTCTCTCTCTCTCTCTTTTGAGCCAGAGTCTCACTCTGTCACCCAGGCTGGAGTGCAGTGGTGCCATCTTGGCTCGCTGCAACCTCCATCTCCTGGGTTCAAGTGATTTTTCTGCCTCAGCTTTCCAAGTAGCTGGGATTGTGATGCCCACCACCACATCTGGCTAATTTTTGTGTTTTTAGTAGAGACAGGGTTTTGCTATATTGGTCAGGCTGGTCTTGAACTCTTGACCTCAGGTGATCCACCTGCCTTGGCCCCCCAAAGTGCTGGGATTACAGGCATGAGCCACCAAACCCAGCCTGATTTCTCTCTTAAACCCCATGGTTCCAGCTATTATTCATCAACATCTCATTGACAGGAAAGTAGCTTCCTCCAGCACTTTACTTGTGGGGTAGCCCATTAAGCTTTCTTCCAGAGCTCAGGTAATCAAATATGGGAATTGTGACAGGGCTTAGGCCAGTGGGACAGAAGTGATGCCATCCCTCTTCCCAACACCACCCCTGCTGTCTACAGCCTTGAGGTTACAATTCCTGCCTTACTTATGCATGATGTTAACCTGTGATGCTTTCTGAAGCCTGACAGCTACCAAAACTCTCAAGAGCTTCTGGCAGGGGTATAAATTGGAAACAAGAAATCCTTTCAATTTCTCCTAAGGCTAAGCACACACCTCCTTATGATCTAGCAGTTCCACTCCTAGGCATGTACTCAAGTGAAAAAAGTGTTTATGTTCATCCAAAGATATTGATAAATGTGTTTATGACTGCTTTATTAACACAGACAAAATTGCAAGCAACCAAATGTTCAGAAATAGGAAAATGGATAAATTGTGGCAATATTCATTCAATAGAATTTTGTGCAGCAGTAAAAAAAAGTGAAGTACAGCTTCATGTATGGATGAATCTCACAACTGTAATGATGAGAAAAATAAGGCAGAAACAAAAGAAAACATACTGTAGGATGCCATTTATATCAAGTTCAAGAACAGGTGAAATCATTCTATCATGCTAGAAGTTAAACTGTGTTTACTGTTGTGGGCAAGGTTCTACTGATTAAGGGAAGAAAGCTTCTGGGGTGACAGAAATGTTCTATTTCTTGACCTTGAATGGAGGTTCTACTAGTGTAACATATGTGAAAATTCATTATGCTTTACTTTTACGAAATGTGCACTTTGCTCTATGTATATACAATATTTAAAAAGACAAATCCTGCCAGCTGGATCACGAAGGATTCATTCACCAAGAACTCAGAATAATCCCTAAGCAAAAACCCATAAGATAAGCTTATCTTTTAAGTCAGTTGGTGGATTCTGTATATACCAAGTGAGTTTTCCTTTCCCTAAGACCCAACCTAGGCTGGGATACATCTCTCTTCTCAGAGGTGTTGCTGGCATTGCACTCCCTGAGCCGCTGCTGTGTGTGTCTGTCTGCCCCTCAGACCACATGTTCCGAGAGCAGAGACTATGCACCATTCATTTCCCTTCCCCAGTATGTAGCAGAGTGCCCGGCTCAGACATGCAGTGACTATGGATGGGACATATGAAGTTGTGAATGCACAAAAGAATGAAGGAACATGGCACACAGAAATATAATCTATGACCACAATCTAGAAAGCTTCTGCGGGGTTGTGAGCTGTGGAATCATCATTTAGGCAGCATGATATGAGCCAGTGGTTCTCACCCTGGAAAAGTTTTACACCACAGGGGTCAGCTGGTGATGTCCAGAGTTAATTTTGGTGATCACAACTGGGGATGGGAAGCAATGCTGTTGTACCTGGAATAATGCTAAGTAGCCTACAAGGCACAGGAAAGCACACCTCTTCCCAACACACACACACACCATCCAGCTCAAAATGTCAGTAGCGCTAAGACTGAGAAAACCCTGGTGTAGAGGAACAGGAGCTAAACACAGGAAGAAAGCCTTGAGTTCAAATGTTAACTGCCTACTTAATAGCTGTGTGATTCTAGGTAAGTCGTAAAACCTCTTAGATCTTTCCCTTTTGCACTAATAGGGCTGATCCCTACTTTAAAAGTAGATGAGAATATTAAATGAGCTGAACTATGTGAAGTGCCTGGCTCAAAACAGGAGTCCAGTGAGACTCGGTTCCCTTCTCCTCTCCACTGTTTCTGATCTGCTTCCCCAGAGCCACAGATGGGCAATTTCTAGTAAAAACAGCTGTCAAGCATTGCTGCTTCTTCCTCTGAAACTCTTGAAGAACAAGCCAGCCTGTGAAGAATGCACTTTATTTGCCAGGTACCTCAGTAGTCTCTGTTCCTAATGAAATGCGTTATTAAAAAAATAAAGTCAACATATTCAGAACTCAGGCCCACGATACATCCCAGTGTAATCTGCCATTCTCCCTGCCTTGCAGGTGTCCTCTAAGCCTGCCACTGAAAAACCAATTCTGATTTACCCCACTTTCTCTTGCTTTTCTCTAAGTCTCCACAAACACACTGGGTTCCCGAGAGATACAAGGCAACGCCACACGCAATACTAGCGCTGTGTACAAGTGGAAGAGACATAGTGAAGAAAGCCCAGCCTTATTCTCTGCAAATGGGAAGTGGAATTTCCCGCAGGGCTCAATCTAAGGCTTGCTACATTTGTCTCTTCTGCCCCTTTATGTATTTATGAAAGCGGCAGCCCCCTAGGCAATCTGAAGCTGGATGCTTATGTGTGTTGATTACGATGAAGTTTTGCTGTCCTTGGTGCTGAAAAAGTCTCCAAGTGCTAAGGGCCATGCTTTTCCATTACTCATATTGTCCAGGGACTATAAAATGGGGCATTAATATACATGTAAACGTTATTTTAGTAAATGCTTAGTATAGAACATTTGGGAAACACACAGAACGGAAGTAACAAAATAATTAGTATTTACTGAGAGTATACTGCTTTTCAGGCATCATTATTGACTTTATCTTGGGAGCTATGGACCATATATTCCCAGTTTTTCAAATGAGGAAAACTGAGGCAAGAATAGTCCCATTCACATGAACTTCCAGTGACAACCACACCGACAACAGAAGAACAGCTGGGTTCCTACAAAGGCCAGTTGCACCACTGGCCTTTCTTCATCTTCTTTCTTCATCGTCTTTCTTCATCTTCTCCAAAACTTGGTTTGTCTTGGCTCCCACATGTACCATTTCCTCTCCTGGACCATCATCTTCAGTCTTTCTACTATACAATTTTCTCACTGGCACACAAGCATGCCTCAGGATTTCTCATCTTACAGAAAAGCAAGAGCTCTTGGCTACCACATCCATCCCTCAAATAACTTTCTCATTCTTTTCCTCCTTTCCAAGGAGACGTTCCTTGAATGAATGGTTTTTAGCCCTTGTCTCCATGTATACAACTCCCATTTTATATTATTTCCTCAAATCACTCCCCCTGAAGTGAACCAAATTGAAATAAACAATGATCATCCCATTAAGAAATCCTGTGGTTGCTTCTTTGAGCTCTCCTTTCAGTTCCCAGCAACATTTGACATCAATAACTCCCTTCTTCTTAAACTACTTATTTTTTCTCTTTACTATTGGGTCACAACAAAATCCTAGGTTTCTTTTTAACTCCATGGCCCAGATTCTCAGTCCTTTTCCCGGATCCTTCTCTTCTCCTCCCCTTAAAATATTTTTCCCCAGGGCTTGGTCCTGGAAAGCCTTCACTTTTCCAACTCTACTCCTCATCCAGTGAGCAATCTTGTCCATTCCCATGGCTTTAAAAACCATCCATATGTTGATGCTTGCTAAGTTTATATCTCCAAGTTGAGGCTAATCATATATATCTCCAGGCAATCATTCCACAGCCTCTCCAATCACTACTTGGATGTCTTAGCATCTCAAACTTCACAGAATTAAAAAGTACTTCTGATTTCCACCCCCAAACCATCTCCTACCCCACTCCTCCTCAACTCAGAAAATGCCACAACTTCATTTCTCAAACCAAAATCCTAGGAATCATCTTTTATTTTCCCTTATGGTTCACAACCAATCCTCTAATCTAGTTCCACAGACTGAGCCTACAAAATATATGCCAATGTCATCCACTTCTCTCCATCTCCAATGCCACTACCCTAGCATCTCCACCCTCTCTTCCAAGGGTTGCTCAGAAGTCTCATTTTTTAAATTGAGCTTTGATTGAGTAGGTAGTACATATATTTAAAAATCTAACCATATCAAAATATATACACCTCCATCCTCCATCACACCAGTCCCAACTTTACACCTCACAGGTAACCAGATTTTCACTTCATTTTAAAAGACTCCCTAGCATCTCCACCTCTCTTCCCAGGATTTCTAGGAAGTCTCATTCTTTATATTTGAGCTTTGACTGAGTAGGTAGTACACACATTCAAAAATCTAACCATATCCAAATATGTATGCCTCCATCCTCCATTGCTTTGATCCCACCTTTACACTTCACAGGTAACCAAATTTTCACTTCAGTTTTAAAGACTCTTTCAAGAGTCTTTATGGAAATATAAAATGTCCATTCCTCCTGTTTTTACAGAATTGTTAAAACATCATGCATTCTATTCTGTTCCTTGCTCTGTTCACTTGGCCATACATCTTGGAGAGCTTCCCATATGGATGCTGAAGAGAACACTCTCTTTAGTTGCTTAGCATTCCAACATATGCCTGTGACAACGTTTATTTAACTGGTAATATATCCTTTGGCAATTGGGTTGTTTCCAATATTTTGCTATTTCAAATGATACTGCAATGATCTTGCATATACTGTTCTCACACATGCCATTATATCTATATTATTAAATAACCAGAAGATTACGGAATCAAACGAAACATGCAAAAAGCACTTAATTGATTTCTGTTTTCTCTCTTGAATTCTACATTACATTTCCAAAAGCATCTACAGTGGTGTTTTTAAAAATGTAAATCCTATTAAGCTGCTTCCCAGCTCAAAGCCCTCCAGTGGCTTTCTGCTGCATGTATATGGATATAAATGCCTATTGAAGCCTCCAATGTCCACATTTTTTACACTTTGCCTACTTGGCCACTCATTAGGCTCCAGCAATTCGGTATATCTCTAGAGCACACCCAACTCTCCTTGCCTTGACACTTGCTCATCTCTCTACCTGGCACACTCTTCAACCAGATCTTCATATTTTCCCTCTCTATCAACCAGATCTTCATATTTTCCCTCCCTGTCAACCAGATCTTCACATTTTCCATCTCCATCAACCAGATCTTCACATTTTCCCTATCAACCAGATCTTCACATTTTCCCTCTCTATCAATGAAATCTTCATATTTTCCCTCYCTGTCAACCAGATCTTCACATTTTCCATCTCCATCAACCAGATCTTCACATTTTCCCTCTCTATCAACCAGATCTTCATATTTTCCCTCCCTGTCAACCAGATCTTCACATTTTCCATCTCCATCAACCAGATCCTCACATTCTCCCTCCCTATCAAACAGATCTTCACATTTTCCCTCCCTGTCAACCAAATCTTCACATTTTCCCTCTCTGTCAACCAGATCTTCACATTTTCCTTCTCTATCAACCAGATCTTCACATTTTCCCTATCAACCAGATCTTCA